TAATCAAAGGAAGGGGAAGAAAGGAGGGAGGGGAGAGGCTGATAGTGACATGGGGGAGCATCCATCAGCAGTCGGGGGGCCCTAGGTGTCAGCAGCCCCCTGACTGCCGGTCCTCAGAGCCCTGCCAGGTGAGATGCTGAGCGACATGTTTCTAGGACACAGTGCCTGAGGACTACATTGACGGGCAGAGTGTGGGGAGCCCAGGCTGTCCATGCTGATATTAGCAGCCCTGCTGTGTCATCGTCCATACAACTGAAATCTGTTATTGTCTTATGAGCTTGATTAACTGTACATATTGCTAACACCTGCTCAGAAATATAACGAGGGACGGGAACACGGCTCCCAATCAGGGTCTGTGTGGGTGGCGTGCGTGACTTGGGTGCAGATCTCCAGAATGGGGATGTGTGTGCAATTGAACCGCAAGTGAGTGTGTGTGTGGTTGTGTGTGTGTGTGTGTGTGTGTGTGTGTGTGTTGGGGGAGGGGGACACACCAGTGCTGGGCAAAGAACCCTGGCCTGCATTGGTAACACCAGGGGGCCAGTCCAGGCTTTGCCATCGACTTACAGTGTGACCACAGGCAGATCTCTCCCTCTCTCTGACCTCAGTTTGCTGACCTGTAAATGGAAGGTCTGACCCAGCGCTGTGCACTAGAAATACCGTGCCAGCCACATCTGTGGTTGTAAGCTTTCCAATAACCGCACTGAGAAAAGCTGTAAAGGTGAAATTATTTTTAGTAATCTGTTTACCAAGTTCAACATAGCCCAGATGTTATTTCAACAGGTACCCAATATAAAATATTCATAACGTATTTAGCATTCTTTTTAAAACTGTCTTCAAAATTCCGTGCGTGTTTTGCCCTTACAGCTCATATGAACTTGAAAAAGCCACATCTGAGTGCTCAGGAGCCACACGGGGTGGGTGATGACTGTATTGAACAGGGCCAGGCCGGGGCATTCTCCGGTCTCCTCATTGAACTGTGGGTGCCCCAAAGTGGGAGACCAGGTTTGTTCTCCCAGCCGGTAGCAAGGAGCCTCTGAGAAAGCCTGTTCATAAATAATATTGTGAATAAACGCAGCTGCCATGGGTTGAGTGTACTGTGAAAACGCTTTCAGGCACTTCGTCACTGAATCCTCGCAGGTGCTCTATGATTTCATTCTGCGGGTAAGGAAGTCGAGGTTCAGAGAGGTTAGGTAGCATGCCCAGGGTCACGCAGCCAGGGAGTGGTACCCTGGTCTCTGAACCCTGGGTAGTGAGTTTAGAGCTCACACTCTTAACCGTTGCCCCAGACGACCTCCCTGTATTACAGATAATATGAGTTAACATTGCTGACCTGCCTGGCGGGCTTCCTGTGTGCCAGGCGTCTTGTCGGCATCATCTCAGGTACTCCTCAAAGCCATCCTACAAGGAAGGTTCTATGCACCTGCTTCCTGTTTGCTCCATGAAAGTGAGGAAAAACGAATGGGTGATTTTGAAGGTGCCCGCTGCCTAGCTCTGAGCCTCAAAGAATCTTGGGGGGTGTACTTACACCTCACATGTGCCATCAGGAGCGGTGCCAGAGCTCTATGCCAGACTACTTGGCGTGGTCCCTTCATCTCTGGGGCAAACGAGTTAAGCAGAGCCACCCTCAGGAGCAGTTCTCAAGGGAGCTGGCTTTAAGGCGTCCACAGGGGCGGAGATGTGCCCGGGGAATGCGTGTTCCCAGCGGCGAACAGGTTTACTTGGGGCTCGGGTGCCAGTGGGTCTGGGCTCCTGCCTTCTTCCTGAAGGTCTGGTAGCACAGCTTCGCATCCGAGTTTAGGCTCTGGAGCTGGGTTCAAATCCTGACTCCCTGAACCCAGGCAGGTTGCTTCAGCTCTTTCGTTTTCTCATCTGTAAATGGGAATACATAACCTCACCTCCTAGGCAGTGGTTCTCAACCTTCTGGCCCTTTAAATACCGTTCCTCATGTTGTGACCCAACCATAAAATTATTTTCGTTGCTACTTCATCACTGTCATGTTGCTACTGTTATGAATCGTCATGTAAATATCTGATATGTAGTATGGTCTTAGGCGACCCCTGTGAAAGGGTCGTTCCACCGCCAAAGGGGTCGCGACCCACAGGTTGAGAACCGCTGTGACCTAGAGTAATGGTGAGGATTAAATGAATGAACACAGGCAAGGGCTCCGAAGGGCTTCCTGGCTCATCAGCCTGAGCCGCTCGCTGCGGGCGCTTGCTGTCGGATCCAGGTTTTCAGGGTAGTTCTAGAAACATTAGATTGTGGAATCTGCGACTCCTGGGTAATTGAAGTGTTCGGATGCGTTCTTCCCCCTCGGAGTTCCTACCCCACTTACCATCTGTTTCGTCCCATCTTACACTTAATTACAATTCTCCGCCTATTGTTCTCCCATTGTCTCCCGTTTCTCCGCTTCCCCCGCTGACAGCATGCGGCGGCTGCCCGAATGAATGAATGGCTCCTACCTGGCTCCCTTTCCCTAGACCTTAAAATAGAGTTGCCAGGCGGCTGTCGCCCCCGCCTGCCGGTGAGCTCCTCTCGGTGTCTGCTTCATCACTGGGCGCCTACCGCGAGCACCTGGCACCATGCCCCGCACCTAGTAGGTGTCGGGGAATTGTTTGTCGAATTTAATTAAACTTCACTGGGGTGGAAACCCCCAGCCAGAAGGAAAGGCCTCTTCATTTCCTCAGCTCCCCCCGAAGCTCAGGACCGAGGCCGGATAAGCCGGAACCCACAGGCTTTCCCAAGCGAAGTTCTCAGAGTGTGGCCTTAGGGCTGATTACAAGGGGTTGGGGAGGTAACAGGAGGAATCCCAGGATAGGGAATTCCCACCACGTGCTACATAAGCCCTAGTTTATTGATTAGCTGGTTCTTCAGATATGACTGCCAAGGATGCGTCCCATTTCATAAACTGGGGAACTGAGGCACACAGTTGTTTTTTGTTTTGTTTTTAATACATTTTTTTTATTGATTTCAGAGAGGAAGGGAGAGGGAGAGGGAGATAGAAACATCAATGATGAGAGAGAATCATTGATCGGCTGCCTCCTGCATGCCCCACACTGGGGATCGAGCCCACAATGAGGGCATATGCCCTGCCCAGGAATTGAACTGTGACTTCCAGGTTCATGTCCAAGCTCAACCATTGAGCAACGCCGGGAGGGCCTGAGGCTCACTTGCCCGAGGACATGCAGGCGATGCTGACTTGGCTGGGACTTGGGCCCAGGTGTACCTCATGGCTCCATATGCCCTCGTCTCCATCCCCACGGGGCCTGGAGCCCTGGCTTTGGCAAAGCAGCCAGTGGCAGCTGGTGAGGAGAGCCGGTGGCAGGCAGGACAAAGCACAACCAGCCAGCCCGCCCAGAACAAAGCGTCCTGGAGCCCAGGGCCTGTCAGAGTCGGCCACTTCTTCCTACTGCCCGCCATGGGCATAGCCATCTCTCTGGCCTAAGTTCAGTCTCTTCACAATGCAGCTCAGACCATGTCACTGCTCTTGTTGAAAACCTTCAGTGGCTCCCCACTGCTCTCAGAACCAAGAAGAACAGCTCGGCCCAGGGGTGCACTCGCCAGCCCGCTCTCCGGCGGCTGGGGCAGGGGGAGGAACACACTAGCAAAGAAGCCCTGATCTGTAGCTGTGGCTGATCTGCATGGCGTAGAGACGCCCTCTGTGGCCCGTTTCGAGCTGCCGCGTAACAACTGGCTCACAGAATCCCTGAGAATGCCACAGCGGGCTCTCCCGCAGCTGTGGGAACCTGAGCCAAGGAGCGTGACCCACCGTCAGCCGCCCTGGCCAGTGCCCAGCACATGCCCCCAGTTTTGACACATTCCCCTGGCTCCTTGACCTGCCATCACCAAGGCCTGCCTCCCATCCCTCCTGCTGCCCCCCTCCCCCCGCAACCTGCCGCAGGCTTTTGCACACGCTGTTCCCGCCGCCTGTCATGCTTGTCCCGCACACGTTGCTTCCTCAGGTCACAGTGTAGCGTCACTTCCCGGGCTTGGGCAGTGCCGCTTTACGCTCTGTTCGCCTCCCGGCACCTGGTGCATTTACATGAATGATGTGACCCCGTGGCTCAGGCTCTTATCCACCAGGCTGTGAGCGCCGTGGGGCAGGGCCTCTCTGGACCCAGCAGGGACAACATTCTCACTGCGGTTGATGACAGTGGCAGCTTCTGGGGGGGGCAACATGTGCCCCCACCCCTGCCCAGCACTCAGCAGGGGGCCTGGCCCCTCTTAGGTAGGCGGTGGATTCTTCCTGAACCTTCCAACCGAGCCTTTTTGCTTTTGTGCTTCCCTTCTGGCAGCTCCTCCTACCTCCATCGAAGTGGTGACTGCGGACGCGCCAGCCCCGTTCAACCGCTACCAGGCCCAGAACTTCACGCTGGTCTGCATCGTGTCCGGAGGGAAACCAGCGCCCATGGTGAGTGCCCCTGGGACCACCCTCCCCTGGCTTGGTCAGCTGCATAGTGACGGGGAGAGGGCGAGGGCCGCAAAGTTAACTCTGCCGCATCTGCCTTGGTCTGGCCCTGTCCACTCCGCCAACCCCCTCTCCTGCCCCTGGTCTCTCAGCACTGGGGACCCCACTTCTGCTGGACCCTGGGGTCCTCGAACTACACAGTGGGAGCAGTTTTTAGGGGACCCCAGGATGCAGGCACATGAGGCCCAGAGAGGGGAAGGGACATCTCAGAGTCACCCCTCAGAGTGGGGCAGTAGGCAGGTGGTCATGTCAGAGCTGGGTTCCAGCTCATGTCCTCCAGCCGCAGGTCCAGTGTGGAGGGAGGAAGGAGGAGAACAGAGGGAGGGAAGAAGGAGGGAGGACAGAGATGGGAGGAAAGACAAAAGAGGGAGGGAGGAAGGAGGGAAGGTAAGAGAGGGAGTCCCTGTGTGGGCCAGCTTCCTCCTGCAGCCACTCTCACTGCACTGAGGGCTCGGTCCAGCCCCTGAGCTGTTGCCACGCCGATGCAGGGGCAGGGGTGGAGGGGAGCCACCTCTGAGAGCTGGCTCCAGCCCGGCCTGCCGCATGCGCTGAATGGCCCTGAGCAGGAGGAGCTCCCTTCCGCTGCTCATTCCTGCCAGGAGGTTTAGAGGCTGGACCATGTGCACATTTGTCAGCTTTTTAAGTAGCAGTAGGACCGTTTGGTCTGAATGAAATGCACAGAAGCTCTGTGTATAAAACATTTAACAGTGAAGGGGCACGCGCCTGGACCACTCCCTGAAGCGCCCTGGCCCTTTGGGTTCCACACAGCCACACTGAGAACCTGCGGGCTGCGCCACCCCAAGGCCCCTCCAGTGCGCACGTGGCGGAGGACTTTAGGGCTCAACCCTGAGAGTTTCTTGCGTCACTAGGATCAGTGAGGGGTGGGTAGGAAGGGTGAGAGTTCAAGGTGGAGGCTCGGCATCCCAGACCCTGCCTATCTCACAGGCATCGTCCAGTGGGGTGACCGGGGGGCTCAGGCCAGCCTCACCCAGCTGCCCAGGACAGGGCAATAAACAGGTGCAGAAAGACCCAAGACAGCGGGCAGGTGCACGCAGGCCCAGGCGGGGCAGTGGGCAGGTGCAGAGAGGCCCGGGCAGGGCAGTGGGCAGGTGCAGAGAGGCACAGGTGAGGCAGTAAATAGGTGGGCAGAGATGAGCCTTTGGTGAGGCCCATTGCTCTCCACTCACACCTGTATCCCGAGGGGACAGCTAACTAGGCACCTTCAAAGCCAGCACTGGTGGGAGCAGGACATGGCCCCGCGTGTCCCACAAAGAGGTCTGGCCTCCCTGAAATCAAGCAAGTTGGTCTTTTTCTCCAAAGAAAAACTCATGTTTCCAAGGGGCTGAAAGGAAGTTTCCTCATGGCACTGCAGCTGTGGGAACACCCCTCCCCTGGCCTGCCTGCTCCTACCATTAAGGACACGGCACTAAAACATTCCAATATATATAGTAAAAAGCACATATATACGTATTCCTCATCTTACATTTGCCTGAAAGGTCAGAATTTGAAAGAATTCTTTGATATAAATAACAAATGTGCTTCTGAAGCACTTTTCAAAAAAACAAAAAAGAAAGAAAGAAAAAACCCAAATCAGCCTATTACGTGTATAGGAGATTCTTCGTTGGAGCTATAAACTCTGACAGATTCTCTGCGCTGCACACTCCACTTCCTCCCCCGCCCCCTGCCTCTCCTCAGGCATCCTCCTCCCCTCCCCTCCTCCCTCCTTCCACCCTCCTCCTTTTCCCCCTCCCCTGCACCAGCATCCTGAAAGCTGCTTCCGTCCCTCTGCACTCCCTGTCTCCCACTATTTATTTATCTGATTTATTAAAAATACACCCAATCCCGCAGGCCCCTGGGCACCTGTACGGAAATAAAAAGACAGCAAATTAAATTAAATGCCGCCTCTCAAAACTTAAATTCCTCCCTAGCAGAGAAAGCAAGGAGCCGGTCCCTTTCACCTCCTCCCCCGCACCTAGCTCCCTCCCCCCCACACACCTGCTCTCTCCTCCTCCAAAACCTGCAAAGGGACCACACGCACAGAGCTCCTTTCCTCATCCTGCCCACGTGTCGTTCCTCTCCGCACCCTCCACCTGCTCTCCCATCCACTTGCTCTCGCCAGCTGGGCACAGACCACCCCTTGGTGGCTGACTGACTGTCCAGGGCCCTTCTGTCCGCTCCCTGCTTCTAGTCATCCCACACCCCATGAAGTAGGGAAACTGTGGCTGGGAGGTGGTAAAGATGGGCACAGCCCCTGCCCCCTGGACCTGCCCATCCTCTTGAACCACACGACTCTGTCTGGGATGCTGGAGGGACATGAACCAGGAGGTCCACCTGGAAGGCTACCAGGAGGAGGAGGCTCCGGAAGGACCCGCCTCCTGCAGCTACACCCTCTGAGAGCCCAGTGGGAGGTCGAGGTCATCCGCACAAAACCTTTTCCTGTACCTTCCTTGTCATTTCAGGTTTATTTCAAAAGAGATGGGGAAGCCATCGACGCGGTGCCGCTGGCAGAGCCGCCGGCGGGCTCTGGCCCCCTCCAGGACAGCAGGCCCTTCCGCAGCCTCCTGCACCGAGACCTGGATGACACCAAGGTGCAGAGGTCACTGTCCCTGATGGACACTGAGAACCGGGGTGGGCGTCCCTCCACGGAGCGCCCCTCCCTCGGCCTGACCCCAGACCCCAGCATCCTCCTCCAGCCGACCACCGAGAACATCCCCGAGACGGTGGTGAGCCGCGAGTTCCCCCGCTGGGTCCACAGCTCTGAGCCCGTCTACTTCCTGCGCCACAGCCACACCCCGGGCAGCGACGGCACCGTGGAGGTGCGAGCCCTGCTCACCTGGACACTCAACCCGCAGATCGACAACGAAGCCCTCTTCAGCTGCGAGGTCAAGCACCCCGCGCTGTCGATGCCCATGCAGGCAGAGGTCACGCTGGGTAAGGTGTGGGGCGCCCTTCTGCAGGCCCCCTGCAGAGCGGGGGTTGGGAAGCCTTGGAGTAGGGCCCTGGGCGGCTGGTCGTCATGGAGACAGGGAGGCGGTGGAGCAAACCGCACTCAGGGTCAGGCACGGAGGGCAGAGTCTGCGTTTGTAAGGAGCTTTGCTGAGCTGGATAGGAGAGCATGGGAGATCCCAGGGACGCCCACAGAGGTCGCTGGGTAAGGTCAGGACATGAGAGGTCACTGGAGTTTGGTCCATCAGGATGGAGAATATGCATCAGTGTTAGAAAACATGGAAGGCTTTTGCCCTGGACGGACAGTGTGGCTTAGTTGGTTGAGCACCATCCCTTGCACCAAAAGGTCGCTGGTTTGATTCCCAGTCAGGGCACGTGCCCAGGCTGCCACTTCAGCCCCCGGTTGGGGTTCGTGCAAGAGGCAACCAATCCACATGGATGTCTCTCTCTCTCTCCCTCTCTCTTCCTCTCTCTCTAAAATCAATAAAAACTTTTTAAACCCATGGAAGGTTTTCAAGGTTGAAAATGGACCGTGGGAAGCAGAGGGAGGTTTGCTGGGCGAGTGAACACAGGGCCGGGCCTTCCCAGGGACAGTGGCTGAGTCGGGTCACAGGAAGGTCAGGGGAGGTTTTCCCATCACAGCTGGGGACACAGGAGGCGACTGAGGTTTTCTGTGTGAAATGAAAGACTCATTGGCTCAGGGGAAGAGGTTTTCTGCGTGGAATGGAAGGTCCATTGGCTCAGGGGCAGTTACCAGGTAATGGTCAGGGACATGGCAGACCAGAGGCCGGGGGGATCGGGGTTCCTTTCTTCGGGGGCCTGTGTGCCCAGGTCCAAGCCTGAGGGGTGGAGATGGGCCTTTAGGAAACAGGGCCCTGAGGAGTCTGACCTGGAAGGGGGAAGGTGTCTGCCCTGACCTTTAGGGGTTCAGGCCTCTCCTGGACGTGGGTGCCCTTCCCCGCCCTCTGCTGGCCGCAGCCCGACAGTGCGGCCCCCGCAGGACAAAGTGGACAGAATAGCTCAGGGCCACACTGCCCGCCCCATGCAGCGCTTCCCACCTGCTGACCGACCCACAGGGAGTTAACAAAGAAGGCGGAAAGTGACTGGAGCCCCCTAAGTTTGCGTTTCCGTGGGGCGATCTCGAAAGGTCGTGAAGTTCAATGAGATCTTGCAAAGGCGTGAGCACAGGGCCCGCGCTTCTGTGCCCTGACAGATCTCGGCCCTCAGACCTCTGCCTCCTGATTTTCCCACCATCCAGGGCGGGGTGGACACTGGTCGTTATCATCGTTCCCAGTTGCACTGGGGGAGTGCCAGGTGGTGTGACTGGGCCGGGGCACACAGAATAGACCAGAACTTGCTCTCTGCCTCCCGGGCCAGGACCCCCCTCGCTCCTGTGGGTGCGGCCTCAGAAACCAACCACAGGCCTTATCTGCCCTTCCCCGCCTCAAAGCAGGCCCAGCTCTTCCCAATGAGGCTTTGTCCGCCTCCTGGGGCACCTCAGATGTCTTGCTTGTGATTTAATTAACAGTCCTTTGGTCTCCTTCTCAGAGAAGGAAGTTGGCAGGGCCTGGGAGACCACCCACATGGCCTGCTGCTCGGAGCATCTGAGTGGGAAGGAGAGGGTAGGCTAGGCGAGCAGGCAGGGGCGGGGGAGGTCCCAGGCCAGCCCGGGACCCGGGACAGAGCTTTCTTCTCCAATAACTCGGTGAGGTGTTCACAGAGAGTGGCCCTGGCCTGCCACTCTGGTCAGAACACTATGGCCCAGGAAGCTACCAAATCTGTCCCCAGCTCCCACCCTCCTCACCCCCTGACCCTCTGCCTCAGTGCCACCCTCTGGCTGTTCCCTCCTCCTGGAATCTTCCCGTCCCAGCGGAAATGTCACCTCCTTGGAAGAGATACTGACCACTACCCCCCCTAGCGGGATTCTGTGCATAACGCCACATGCCCTGGTCGTTTCTTCTCTGGGTACTTGTTTGCAACTAAGTCATAAGCTCAAGTCAGCGGGCACTTGGTTTGATCACCGTTGTGCCTAGCCCTGCCCCACAGCCTGGCACAGGGTTGGCTCGATAATCACTTGTTGAAAGATTGAATGAATGAGTGAGTGAGTGAATGACTCTGGGGCAGAGTCCTGCCCTGAAAGTGAGGAAAGGTGGAAAGCTGGCTGTGTGACCCCTCTGTTACCCATGGGCCTCGGTTTCCCCATCTGAAACCTGAGGGGATGGACCCAGCGATCCCAGTGGCTCGTCCATCCTGATGTTGTCTGTCCACAGGACAGCGGTGCCCTGGGCCATCTGTCTCCCACGTTCAGAGGTGCAAGGGGGCTTTTGAGAAGTGACACAAGGGCATAAGGAAGAAGGGCAAGGAGGACAGAGATCCAGGATCCCCCACACCTTGTCCACTGGGGCAGACAAGGTGTTCTGTGCACCATTGAATCTCCAGCTCCCAGCCAGGGTCTGATTCGTCGTCGCAGGGGCTTGGGGAATGTGTGCAAATGAACGCAGGCAGGCTCGAATGGATGAATGAATGAATGAATGAATGATGAGCATCCTGGAACTGGACTAGAACTGGACTGGCTCTTTCTCCTCCATTTCCCTGCCCCTGCTTTCCTTGCCCAGTCTCCCCGACTCCACACACACACACACACACACACACACCTCTGACCTGGTCTTCTTCTCCCTACAGTTGCCCCTAAAGGACCCAAAATCGTGATGACACCCAGCAGAGCCCGGGTCGGGGACACAGTGAGGATTCTGGTCCATGGATTCCAGGTCAGCCTCTCTCAGAGCTCCTGGGAGGGTGTGGGAGGTGGGAGGGGCCCCAGTCAGGCACTGGGCTCTGAGACCCTCCCCGCCACCTCCAGCCCAGCCAGTGGGCCTCTGTCTGCTAATCTGTCTGATACCCTCCCCGCCACCTCCAGCCCAGCCAGCTTCCGTCTGCTAATCTGTCTGGCAATTCAATGAGAAAGGACATGAGGTTCCTGTGTTTTTGCTTACCCATCTAGAACCCGGGGTAGACATGCCTCATGGACTTGACCTTCTCTCCACCCCTAAGTCCTTTTCTGCCTGGTGTGGCAGGAAGCCCCTCCTAACCTGCCTGATTAGCATGTGTCCCCAGGCCTGGCCGGGCCGTGGCTCTGAGCCCTCGCTGCTCTGGCAGAATGGCTCCTCCTGTGACCAGACTTCCCCCTGCTCTGGCCAACAGAACGAGGTCTTCCCAGAGCCCCTGTTCACATGGACGCGGGTCGGGAGCCGCCTCCTGGACGGCAGCACCGAGTTCGACGGGAGGGAGCTGGTGCTGGAGCGGGTTCCTGCCGAGCTCAACGGCTCCATGTACCGCTGCACAGCCCAGAACCCGCTGGGCTCCACCGACACGCACATCCGGCTCATCGTGTTCGGTACGCTGCGCCCAGCTGGGGAGCGGGAGGCCCACCCAGGGCTCTGGCTGACAGTGCCTGAGGACGGGGGACAGAAAGGGCCTGAGAGGGTGCCCCACAGGGAGGCACTGGGATTACAACCAGAGGTCTGTGGGTTCAAACCCCAAGTCCACCACTTAGCAGCTGGGCAAACTGGGGCAAATGGCATAACCTCCCTCAGTTTCTCCATCTGTACAATGGGGCTGCCACCTCCAGCCCACAGGGGCGTGTCCACACCAAGACAGCACGTGAAACTGCACGGCAGGTGTGGGACAGAGGGGTGCTCCTTTACTGCGCTCCGAAGCCATCCACTCTCTGATTCTCTTTCTGTTCGTTCCCACAGAAAACCCAAATATTCCAAGAGGAATGGAGGACTCCAATGGTAAGTTTCCATTCAGCTCCTTGCTGGAAAGTGTGATTTTCAAGGCTGGAAGTTCTGGTCCCCAAACCTCCCATTGCCTCCCCCTGCCCCGCCCCCCTCAGGCCTTGGCAGGAGACGGGCCTCTAGTTCACAGAGTGGGCCCTAAGGAGTGGGTCAGGCGTGGGCCCTGAGGCAATAAAGGGGACTCGGCACCCCAAAGTAGCAGCAGGGATTTCCAGCGACTTAGTGTGTCCCCAACACCATCCACAGCGAGCGACTCCAGTTTTTTTTAAATCCTCATCTGACTCTCTAGGGCAGTGGTTCTCAACCTTCCTAATGCCGCGACCCTTTAATACAGTTCCTCATGTTGTGACCCAACCATAAAATTATTTTTGTTGCTACTTCATAACTGTAATGTTGCTACTGTTATGAATTGTCATGTAAACATCTGATATGCAGGATGTATTTTCATTGATACAAATTGAACATAATTAAAGCATAGTGATTAATCACAAAAACAATATGTAATTATATATGTATTTTCCAATGGTCTTAGGCAACCCCTGTGAAAGGTTTGTTCGACCCCCAAAAGGGTCTCGACCCACAGGTTGAGAACCGCTGCTCTAGAGAGAGTGGGAGGGAGGGAGAAGAGGGGGAGAGAGAGAGAGAAACATTACCATGAGAGAGACACATCGATTATTTGCCTCCTGCTCACACCCCGACCAGGGCCAGGGATCATACCTGCAATGGAGATACATGTCCTGGGCTGGGAATCGAACCAGTGACCCTTCGGTCACACCAGTGACACTCTAACTGCTGAGCAAACTGGCCAGGGCAGCACCTCCAGTGTTTTTAGCTCAACTTCCTGATCCCAGGGACACATGTCCAGTCTGGACAATGGGGCTGTGCCTGGGGCCCGGGACCACTCCGGAGGGTAGTTGGGAGCACGGACAGCTAGCTCTGCTTGGGCGCTTCAGACTGCCCTCCCAGGATTCCCCCAATCTGGGCACCACCCCAAGGGACCCAGGAACTGCTCCCAGGCCACCAGCCCTCCTGTCCCCACATTGGGCCCATCTCACAATTCAGAATGGAGGCCCCCAGTCCCGGTGCCCACTGGAGGGTCCTGATGGCCAACATGGAGCCTGCCCTCAGCCCAGCAGGCCCAGGGCAATGAAGGGGTCACCTCAGGTGGGACAGGCGGCCGCGCTGGGCTCGGATGCAGTGCCTCCTGAGGCTGAAGTCCTGACGCTGCTCCCCTGTGAGCTCCGCGTCCCCAGGCTCCATCAGAGAGCACGGCGGTGGGTCTGCGGGCTCTGACCTGCTCCCTGCGCCGGCACAGGTTCCGCCTCTGGCCCTGCTGGTGTCCGGCTCACCCTGGTGCTCGCCCTGACAGTGGTCCTGGAGCTGACGTGAAGGCTCGGCCCGGCTCCCGCCACTCCACCCGGCACGGACGCCTCTGCGATCGCTTTTCATTTCTTTTCTAAACTATTTCCAGTCTTGTTCTTAGTCTCTTTCTGTCTGTGTCTTGGCTTCTTCAGTCGGTTTGATTAAAACAAACAGAACGATTTTCCCCACCTGGGTCTGTGGCTCTGTGTTCTTCATTCGTTCTATCGCGGCAACTGGGTGCCTCCTGGCCCCCCAGCATCGAGACAGGCACGGGGTGGAGGGACGTGACGAAGGAGATGGAGCATGTTCCTCCCTGGATGAGGGGCGGAGATGCAGCTCAGTCTCGTGCATATCCTAACAGCCAGGAGTGGGGAGTAGCCAGAGTCGTTCAGGAAATTAAAGGTTCCTGTGGGCCAAGTGTAATGGTCAGCTGTTGCCACAACAATGCTGCATAACAAACCAACCCACATTTGCAGCTCAGTCTCGTGCATATCCTAACAGCCAGAGTCATTCAGGAAATTAAAGGTTCCTCGGGACCAAGTGTAATGGTCAGCTGTTGCCACAATAATGCTGCATAACAAACTGATCCACATCTCAGTGGCCTGTGACAACAAGCATTTATGATTATGTTACTATTCAGGATGAAGTGGTAAGGCTGATCCAGTCTGGGCTCGGTGGACCCCTCTGCTTCAGGTGATGAGTAGAATATTCTCACTTCCTGTTGTTCCTAAATTCCTGGCTAGCCTCCAGGCTGGGGGTTGGGCTCAGGTCTCCTGCAAGGGTGTTTGCTCTGGGGCTCAGGCTAAAGGTGCAGTGGCTATCCGACATTCGGCCATTCCATGGTAGATCACCAATGCTGGAGGAGAAAAACAAACCATGCAGCCACCATGAAAGCACCTGCCTGTCATGTCCATGACCACTCCTTTAGCCAAAGCAAGTCACACGTCAATCAATCAAGGTCACATGTAAGTCAGGGGCAGAGGTTCCGGAACTTTCTAATCGATCACCAGAAGAGTCCCCATGCCACTCAGTGATTAGCTCTGGGGGAAAGAATGCATCATTGGCAGGGGTAGGTTGGCCTCTCGGAGCTGTGGCCGAGACTTGAGAGTCACCAAGGAGAACCCATGGAACACTGTACTAATGTCTGGAAGGGAGAGGCGCCTGCAGGAACACATCAACCCCAGACTCTTACTGCATCCGCACAAGGAAAGTTATCTGTGGCTATGGAAAGCCCAAGGCAGATTGGAGAGTCCTCTTCCACCTATGGTTACACCAGCTGCAACATGTGGCTTCTAGAATCTTCTCCAGGGCAGAGGAGCAGGGGGCTACAGGGTCAGTGCAGTGTGCAGAATAACGGTTCCCCAAAAATGATGTCCACGCCTTAATCCCCAGAATCTGTGAGCATGTTACCTTATGTGGCAAAATGATGTGATTCATTTCAGGGTTCTGAGATGGGGAGATTGCTCTGGGTCTTCCGATTGAGCCCAGTGTCATCACAAGGGGCCTTATAAGACGGCAGAGAGAAGTCACGAGAAGGAACTGTGACAGCAGAAGCAACAGACTGACACAGGTGGTGCGAGGAGGGGCTGCGAGCCAGGGCAGGCAGGCCACCTCTAGAAGCTGACAGAGGCAGGGAAATGAGTCTCCCCTGGAGCCGCCAGGAGGAACTGGCCCTGCCCACGCCTTGCTCCATAGTCACCTGCAGGCCTCCAAGGAAACACATTTGCATTGTTTATAGCCACTGAGCTTGTGGCAATTCCTTACAGCAGCAATAGGAAACTCATAGGATGTTTTTAAGTGCCCAGCCGAGTGGTGACATGGATCACCTCTGCCTGCATCCCATGACCAGAATAGTCACATGGCCCCAACCTAGCTGCAAAGGAGGCTGGAAAATGCAGTCTTCCTGTGTACCGGGTGAGCACAGTGCATCGGGTCTGCCAAGGATAGGCACCGGCTGGAGGAGCCAGAGGAGCCAGAGGAGGGGGTGCTGGGAGGAAGGCCCTCACCTGCCTCTGCTGCCTCAGAGTGCCCCGGGCCTCTCCCTTCCCAGCCAGGAGACACATGACCTCACTGAGCCCTTTGTGCCTCTCCCAGTCCATGCAGATGTCCCGGGGGATTGGGGCCCCTGCCTACAGAACCTCCAAGCCCCCAACACGCCAGTCTGGGCGTTGAGCAGTGGCTCTGTCCTCTTGTTGCCATCACTGCCCCTTGACCTCTGCCCGAGGCAGGACCTGGATGACCCATTCAATTAACGTCCACCTTGATGCCCACATCTCTGACTCCGTAACTTTCCCCTGGAATTCCAGACTCGATGTCCAACTTCCTACTGCTTTCCCCTCTCCCATTGCATTTCCAACTTCATGTGGCTGAAACCCAACTTCTGATTTTTCCCTTGCAAAACATGGTGCTTCCCCTTTTCAGGAAATGGTGCCACCATCAACCCAGCTGCCCAGGTCCAACATTTAGCTGTTCTCTTCTATTCATCTCTTCCCGTCACCCTTCCACAGCCAATCAAATAGCTTGCTGACTTTGCTCTCAAAGCTCATCCTGAATTCACTGGCTTCTCTCCTTGTCCACTGCCACCACCCTACACAAAGCTACCTGTCCCCTGGAAACTGCCTCCACCTCCTGTTTGGTCTTCAGATTGCCTTCTTGCCCCCGCCCCCAATGATCTGGTCCCCCATGGCAGCCAAAGAGATCCTTCTCAACATAAGCCATCCCACGGTGCCCTCCAACTCAGAACCGAACCCTCCAATGGTTTCCCTGCCATAGATTCAGTGTCTGTGTTCTCCCCAAATTCACACGCTGAAACCTAACCCCCAATGTCATGATATTAGAAGATGCGGAGGTCACCAGGGTGGAGCCCTCATGAATGGGATTAGTGCCCTTATAAAAGAGGCCCCAGAGAGCTTCCTTGCCCCTTCCACCACATGAGGACACAGCAAGAAGTTGACAACCTGGGAGAACCGGACCATGTTGGCACCCAGATCTGGGACTTCCTGCCTCCAAAACTATGAGAAATAAATTCCTGTTGTTTTGAAGCCACCAAGTCTGTGGTATTTTGGTATAGCAGCCCAACCAACTAAGACACGGAAATAAATCCAAACCCCTTATAAGTCCTACAAATCCTGCTGGCTTTGTCTTGTCCACACTGTCCTGGTTCTCTCTCTCTCTCTCTCTCTCTCTCTCTCTCTCTCTCTCCACCCCCCTTCATTCACACACACCTTCCCATTCCTCAGACTCTTCAAGCCTATTCCTGCCTCAGGACCTTTTTAGGGCTGACTCCTCCTTTCTATTTACGTATCAGCTTAACTATCACCTCCTCAAAGGGACCTGCCTGACCACCACATCCCTCTCCCCACCATGCCATCCTAATGCCATTCTCTGCAGAGAACACGTCATTAGCAGATGCTTTTCCTACTTACTTATTTATTGCCAGTCTCTCCCTTCCCCTTGGCCTGCATGTCAGCCTGTGAGTGTGGGGACCCCATCTGCATCCTCCACTTTTGTGTCTTCGCTCTTAGACCAGAACCAGGCACATGGCAGGTGCTCAACAACCATTTATTAAATGAATGAGTGAGTGAGTGGGCACCTCCCAGGGACATGCTAAGGGCCAGGCTCTGTGCCAGGCATCCAGGCTGCAGGGGTGAGTAGGAGGTGCACTCCACCCTGCAGGAGTTCACAGCCCAGTGAGGGGAGGACTCTCTCTCTCTCTCCAGAGGAACTGCAAACCGACCGAGGAACTGCAAACCGCCACGGGCGCTCAGCACAGGGCCTCCCCGGTGCTCTAGGGATCCATTCCCCTCCGGTAGGGGTGCAACGGGGAGCTCAGAGGAGACCACAGAGAACATGTGACATGTGAGCAGAACTTTGAAAGAAAACGGAGTCTGACCAGGCAGAGGAGGGAGGAGAATATTCTAGACAGAGAGAACACCAGCAAAAGCCTAGAGGCCGGACAATTTAGTATACATTTAGGGGAAAGACAAGCTGTTACATCAGTGCTTCTGACAGCACATAAATTTACTCAACAAATATTTATTAACTACTCACCATGGGCCATGCTTGCAGTGTGATGGATGCCTCACATTAAGTAGGAACACTGTCATATGGCTCTTGTATCAGTTATCTATTGCCACAATGGCGCTGTATAATGAACATCCCCAAAACGGAGTCGCTTAAAACAACAGCTATTTATTATTTCTTGTTAGACTATGGTCAGCGGCTGATCCGGGCCAGGTTTGGCCTATGGAGGCGAGGCTCCCACACACACACACCCCCTATCTTCCCTCACCCCCCATTGCATCTAAGTCAGCTGCTGAGCCAGCTGGGGTCTGGCTGGTCCACAGCGGCCTTTGCTGAGGTGGGTCAGCCCAGCCCCATCCAGTCTTTCCTCCTCCAGCAGGCGAGCCTGGTGAAGACAGAGGACCAGGGAGAGCTGGAGCACACACTCCCTCGAGGACTCGGGGACCCTGCACTCCGTCACCTCCGCTGCATTGTTTCGGCCAGTGCAAGTCATAAGTTCAGCCCAGATTCAAGGGGTGAAGAAATAGATGGCACTTTTTGATGAGAATAGCTTGCAAACTCACATGGTATAATGTGTGGATACAGCAGGAGGTAGAATTAGGGCCATTTTTTGCAATCTACCTGGTACAGCAGCCCCACATTCTCAACTTGATGTCCCTCCATGTTCACATCCTCTCATTTAAACGGAGAAGCCCAATGACTCCTCACAGCCATTTCTCTTCTAAAAATATAACAAATCAATGATCCATTCCTTCGATGAATATCTGCCTGTCCACATTTCGCAAGTTGATAGCAACGCTGACGCAGATGATTTTCCAGCCTTGAAGGCTCTCAGGTATGCATCAGTATAAACACCCAGGCCAGATCAGTGCGCGGCAACCACATAGCACCGTTGACCACCTCAACCTACTTCCTGCTTCCCCTGCTCTGTCTCACGTGAGCCTCCTGCCCCCTCTGCTGCCCGCCAGCAATCCTACCTAAGCCTCTTTCACACAAGGATTTTGACTGTTTTCTGGAAGGAATAAAAAAGGATTTGTTCCCTCTCTTTGCCTTAATAGAGGGAAGCCCATGTAGGCATGAAATTGAAATTGCTTTGCCCTATTAACATCATAGTCATTGGGCTCCACTGACCCCGAAGGTCCATTAATATCTCCGCAGCGAGTGG